TGTCCCTTGTCTTTTCCACCTTAGCCTTCAGACCCTGGGGATGCCCTTGCTCTAAAATACCATTTGCAGGTCCTTGAATGGGCCTTGTTTTCCTAACTCATCTGGGACTTTACATGTTTTCTTCCTTTTACTGGGAAGATCTTGTGTTTTTTTTTCTAATTTATAAAATTCCTGTTTGTCTTTCAAGGCTCACAATTCAGAAAATCTATCAGCTTTCTCAGCAAGAAAAGCAGTGGTACATTTATTTAATGAGTGCTTACTGAGATGGGGTCAGGGACTATGTTCAATGCTGGGTTAAGAGTTATGAATCAAACAGGCAGAGCGGCAGGGCTATTTCAACATAGTTGCCAGTGTAAGTTAGGATAACTGCAAGTATTCAGGGAAGCACCCAGAAGCCTTGTGGAGGGGTAGGGAATACCCGCTAGAAGGGTGAAAATAAATGTATAGATGAGGCAAAGGATGAGGAATTACCAGAAGGATGGAGAGAGAATAATGATCCAGAGAGAGATTAAGAATGGGCAAAGTCCCCGAAGAACATGGTCAGGGGAGAATGCAACATACCTCAAAGCATTTTAGTATGGCTGAAGTAGAGAATGTAAAGGGAGGAAAAAAAGAAACTGAAGCCTGAGAAGAAAGGGTACAAACTATGCAATGTCTTTCAAAACACTACATATGATACACAGTACCTGAAAGTTTTCCTTGGTACTGCTGCCCTGGCTGTCAGGTAGCTATCCTTTAGGTTCTTAACTTAGCACCTTGTATGCATCTCTACTGTATCCTCTGCAGTGTTTACTTCTTTACATGCTGCTGATGTTTGAAATCTATCTAACCCTGTGAAACGTGCCCTCCTCCTTTTTGTATCCAACTGTTGGGAATAGTTTACTTCAAAGTGCTTAAAAACATAAAATGAACGGATGAATAAATCAACAGAGTTTAGATGGATAGAAAGGGTATAAATAGGTTTTCTTTAAATGACAATAAATATAAACAGCAATATAAGTTGTTGTGACAGTTAATCTTGATGGAGGCTACTACAAAGCAGCTCTTAAATTAGGAGCAGGACTTAAATTAACCAACTGGTTTTTCAAATTTACTTGTGAGTCTGTCCAAAGCCTAGGCCGCTGGTCTGGACACAGGTAGTGGACTCATAGTAAGTGAAACTGTGAGTCACTAATCCCTTCTAAGGCCCGTAATGTTGGTGTCAGGATGACGCCAGAAAGCCTCAAAAGATAAAACAAGATCACAGCCAACGACACCTGAATCCAATTTTAACTAAAGACTATAGACTCAGGCATCTCACTCCTGGGTGAACTAAATACTTTACTTGGTGAAGTCCTTGAGTAGTTATGCCCTGACCTTCTTGAGTACTCCCCTCTTAAGTACTTCTGATAACTAAATAAATAAATATGGGCCACCCAGAAAAGGTCTTGGTCTTAGCCCTGAGAGAATCTAGAATTCTATGAGAGGGCTTTGATCCACCTGGAGCCCTGAAATCATTCCATTTGCCTCTTTTTATTTAGCCTTTGCCATACATTCATTCAGGAGATTGCAGACCTGATCAGCTCACAATAACTAAGGGATATTTATTAACCTGATAGCCTTGATGGTCAATGTATGTGGTTTGAAAGATTAGTAAAGCACTCTTCCAGGTGCGTCTGGGTGGCTAACAGAGGCATGACCCCAAGGATTACATCTTGTCCCTGGCCCCCTTCCTCTCTGGGGCTCTTCCGCTGCTCTCGGCTTCCTGGAGTTGAGTTGAACTGACTTCTTCTGCAATGCTCTTCCACCATGATAGTTTTGCCTTGAACCCAGACAACCACAGCCTAAAACCTCTGAAATATAAGCCATTTAAACCATTTTCTCCCTTAAATTGTGTATGTCAGGTATTTGATACCAGCAACAGAAAGCCAACTAATATAATTACATCATAAGAGAACACAGGTATTAGATGGTAAGTGCCAAAGTGAGTGGCAGTCCACTCTGAGGACGAAACTGCTGTGTGGTAAGGTAGTGTGAAACCTCTCTGTGACAAAAATGGAACTTTCCAGAAGCTTAAAGGATGGGTAGAATCTCTAGGGCTGGAAGGTGGAGTGGGAGATTTTGTAAGCAGAAGCCCTAAACTTGTAAGAATGAGGGAAGGATATACAGGAGGGAAAAGGCTTACTTAAGAGAAGGGGAAGATCAGACAGGGAAAGAATGTTGCTGGAATTATCCTTCTCAAGCTACTACTTTAGTTAAGAAAATAAGATCAAAGGCTATTCTGTCCTATTTCCAAATCAGCAGATCCTCTTAATAAGCTCTTTCCATAGTTTTTGGGATATTCCACAAATGGCGAAGACTTCAAGAATAAATGCTGAGATACAACACTATCATTTCTAGCATACTATGGTTGATTCATTGTGTCAATTTGAGAAGTTTAGAAGCTTAAATAACTAACTCAGCAGGGAGCCAAGGTCCAAACTTTGTAAACATCCTGAGCCCGTGCAAGAGGAGGGCAGGGAGATGGTGTGAGTGCTATACTCACCCTGGGCAGATAGCCTGCTTACAATACAAGGGAGGAAAAGAGGCTTGTTCTCCCTCCTTTTTGCTCTTGCTGCTTTTTCTGTCTTCTACCTCCATGAGCTTTTGCTCCTGTGCCATGCCACCCTGCCTTGGCAGCCAGCTGATTATGAGCTGAAATCTCCACAAACTGTGAGGTAAATAAACCTTTCCTTCCTTAACTTTGGGTGTCAGGTATTTTGTCTCAGCAATAAGAGAAAAGTAACTAAGCCATAGCACTTGTTCTTCTCGATAAGTCACATTTAAGGAACTCCACACAAATAATTTTGAGGAGGCACCAAAGGATAGAACTTTGCTTAAAATGTGGCTTTTGAACCTAACCCACTTTAAAGGCCTGCTCTAGGTTGCTTTAGGGTTAATGAATTAGATTACTATAAGATATTACTGCTAGGGCCCTTGGCAAAAGGAGATGAAGACAAAAAGAAGAGAAAAACCCACAATATGGGTAATTCTGTTTTGTGGTTTCATCAAGATACTGAATCAAGAAAATGCCTCCTTCCCACTGACTTATAGGAATTATGACACACCAACATCCTGAATTCAAATCTGAGCTGGAAATGTAACTGTAGACAGCTGCCCACAGTGCTCCTCTCATCTGAGCAGCTTCCGGGTATAACACTGGTCAACACATTCTATCTCAGAAAAAAACCCAGAGAGGCCCTAAAATGTCAGTGTGTTAAGGCAGAAAACATACAAGAAACAGTAAGTTTCTTCGCTCACTGTGGAGACTATACTGCAATTTACAGCTGCATGATTAAAAGTCAATTTTGACTGAGTTTTCTAACTTGAAACCCTGCAGTTTATACTCATGATTCAGGAAAGCAAAGCAAAAATTAAGAATACATATATATATTCTGTACATATATATATCATCCAGTTTGATATTTTAACAGTCAAAACCAGAAGGATCAATGAAACACTCTTTGATTATATCACAATGTCAAAGTTACCAAGGATAGTTCAATTGTTTCGTGTATATGTATATTTCCAGAGTTGCACATGAAAAATTCTACATTTAGAAACATTAAATTGATGAACTTTCTTATTCATTCTACTCACAAACTAAATTACTCCTATGACTACTGACATAATACACTTTCATAAGGTAATAAAAATTCTAAAATGCCTTTCAAAAAAGCAGTGGTAGGTATTAGAGGAAATAAAAGAGAAAGGCACTTTACCTTTTCTGTAATAATGCGGTTGACACATTGCTTTCCAGTTAGTGGTAGTGTACATTTCTCCATGATTTTATGTGCATTTCCCTGTTTTAAAGAAAAAAAGAACCATCAAAAACAGTAGTTAGGGAGCAATTCTTATTTAGAATAGGTGTATGTATAGATAGCAACTATCATAAAAATTGTCTTCAAAATACACTTATTTCAACATTTTGTAGTCATCTTTCTACTCTTTCTGGAGGTAGTTTCTGTCCCTGAAAATAATTTAGGGAGGAGGCCAAGAGAACAGCCAAGGTATACATGTTTTATCTGAGAAATGCCAGCCCACATATCTGACCTCTCAAGTCTCTTAATCTCGCATAACCTGATGTAAAATTTCACTTCTAATATCCTGCTTAGTTTTCCTTCCAGAGAATAATTCTGAAAAATATGACCAGCTCTCCAAGGAAAGGAAACATATGTAGAACACAAATGCCAAAGTTCCCTTGAAAAACTACAGAAAATTAATTTTGTTATAAAAACAGATACACAGAAACAGCAATGCCTTGTCTTCCTTAATTGGAAATATATTTCAAGTTTTTAAAGCACTCTGTTCTATGTATTTTCTTTTGATAGTCACATTTTAAATATTACGTTCACTGTTAGGTTTTCAGCGCGGAAGAAGAAACAAACAAAAGGGCAAGAAGGGATTTACTCCGGACCCTGAGAGGAGAGGACTGCATGCAGCACAGGGCTCCTCCAGGGTAGACAAAGGAGGCTGAGGGTTTATGAGGACCCTGGCTAGAGTACGAGCTTGAGAGGCGGGCTCAGTGACCCGTTAGGAGCTGATTGGGACTTCCCTTGCACACGCCCAGGAAGGGTAAGAGGAAGTCCCCTTCAGGGCCGGGCAGGAACCTGTCATTCACCATGCTATTTATTTCTTGATTAATCAGATTTAGACATTACTGTTTTCATTGTGGTAGATGAATACTTAATTCCCCTATAAACATCACCCCAAGCCTGCCTTTATCATTTTCAACTCTCCTAGTGTGGACATGTCACACTTGGTAGTTAATTCCATGGTCAGAATTTACATTTTTCCTTAGGTATACCATGGCGAAGAAGGGTAGATAGAAGGGTTCTGGTCTCCATATCTTGCTACAGTTGTGGCAACAGCCTAGAACTGCCAAATAGAAAACACTAAATTAAGCATGCCTGTAATCTCAACTACTTGGGAGACACAGACAGAAGGATTGCAAGTTCCTGGCAAAGCTGGACAACTTAATGAGAATGTCTCAAAAAAAATTTTTTTAATCATTGTGGGATCTAATGATCATGTAAAACTGACCACTGCTGGACCCAGCAGTGTAGCATATTGTAATTATATATACTTTCTTCTATGTTCCTTCTAGAGTTCAGCTGAACTTCAGTAAAAGGCATGAGCTTGTCTATATGCACATTTTTTTCAGTTTCTTTTAGTCACAGTTCTCTTTCTGCAAACATAAAAGAAAAATTAAAAAAAGAAAACAGGGTTTTAGTCATTAACTTCCTCCCCTAACCCCACCCTACCCTCAATATAAAAGTGGCCCCAAGGGCAGGTGTGTGGAACACAACTGAAATATTAATTCTGATTATCTGATCTTCAAAACATTTTCTTAAGATTAAAAGTAAGCTCTCTTTTAAGTATCTTAAATATTCCCCTTAAAGTTGAAAGTGAACTCAGAATATTCTGGATCTTCTCTTATTAATGAATGCTTTTGTTTTGGCCTTTTAGATCTAAGTACAACATTGATATTATCTTTACCATTTCAAATTTCAGCAGTTTAAACATCAATTTATTGCCTAGTTTACACCTCTCCCCAAATGAGACCAACTGTATTGCCAGATGTGAACTTAAGATAACTAGGTTTAGTTAAGATTTTATTCCTTATAACCAGACTGCTTTGCAGCATACTAGTAATCTAAAGGCTCTAGTGTACTTAAGGGAGTGTAAGGCATAAAAGCCATCCAGTAGTTTTTGAATGAATGGATTCATGAAAGTATGAATAGGAAAAGAAAGCCTACTGGGAATCTTTGAGAGATTTTTTTTTTTTAAAGGGCAACTCTATCACTTTAATTCAGTCAAAAGTGGTGATAAATATATATAAAATAGACAGAAACTACCTTTAAAAACAAGTTCTATTCCTGCATCTTGGCCCGTAAGAAAACTTCACACTTAAAAAGAAAGCATCCCTTTTACTTCACTTTTAATCATCTATTTTACTTTCAAGATTTCAAGTTTTGCATGTCACATAAACCAAATTAAACAGCTGAAATTAATGGTGAATATTTGAATTTCTACAGTTGTCAGTTCTTCTTACATTTAATATAATTCAAATAAGGCATGTCACAATGAATTCCAAGGCTGACTTCAAACAAAGTGAATAATCTATAGGCCTCTGAAGAACATTTTCTGTAGGGAGCTCTTACTTTGTTCTCATTATTTGAGAGCAAGATCTACATCTGGTGTGAAAGCAACCACTTGGATTTTAATGAACAACCAACTCCACTCTAGAGGGAATCATGAATTTCAGCTGACAGCATTAACTGCACTCTACCAACAGAGACCTTTATAGACCATTTTCTGAATACATAATATACCATAGTGGTAAAGAGTGTGGGCTGGAGCCAAACACCCGTGTGTAACACTATTCATGCAAGATCCATGTGCTCATGCTTCCTTATCCACCTTAGTTACAGGGTCACTGCTAGGCTTAAATGAAATCCAACTGTCTAGCACTCAACAATAAATGTTAGCTGGTATAAATATAACTTACATTTAACATTACTGCAACCTACAATGGAATTCTTTATGAACTTTTAAATCCTTACATAAAATCTGACAGAAAATGGCCTAAACATAATTCCTGAGATCCACAAAACTAAATATATATAAACACAATATATACTTAGAGGCAACCATATGGCTTGCCTAGGAAACTGGCACCAAGTGTATTCTTGCAGTTAGAACAATGTAGCTAGATGATTCCATTCATATTTATCTCCAAGGCATAACAGAATCAAAAAGAGAGAAAATGGAATTCAGAAGGATTAAAAATGTCACAATTTCAGTATTCAACAATGGGTTCACTTTGAGGTCACAGTATGACTAACTCCCACTTTAGCACTCTATTCTAACCATGCTGGGCTGAGCCTCGCACTGTGCCATAGCAGCTGCATATATTCATGACTTACGAAGAAGGAACAATTGCTGAGTTCTTCACATTTAAAAATAAATCCTAATAAAGCGAGGCAGTATAGCAAAGAACACTGTGGGTAAAGTCCAAAGAGCAGAACTTTGCCCTTAATAGTCCTTTGTCTCTTAAGTTTTAGTTTTCTCTTCAGTTGCCTTCTTACTATGACAGTCAGATTAAATTACTGAAAACACAATAAACTAGAAGGGGTTGAATCCATGTACAAAAATCCAAGGTTACGAGGTCTTGATCATTATTACTCTGCTTCTTTTTTTTCCTTCACCAATATGAAATGTCAGAAAAGGCAGAGGAATAAAGTGTGGCATTAACAATGTTTCAACTAGTATTGAGGACTCCTGATTTCAACATGCTTTTATGTGTTAACATTATGATAACCTTAGTGAATACCTAAATCTGCCTCTTCCACCTGCTCCCCAAGTTTTCCTTTACGTGGTTCAATACATATAGACCTCCCATAGGAGTTTGAGTTCTTCACCATTTGATTTTTAAGTGGTTTAGGGTCTTGGTACTTTCTCTTATTTGCTTCATTGTGATCTCTAATTCTTTAGATGTCTGAATGAAATCCTGGCCCTACATTCTGTGATAATGAACAACTCTGGTTAAATGGTGATAAATCCCCCTGCTAACATAACAGTGAATTTCATAGTATCACAGTGCACTTAATCCCAAATAACCAGCTGTGTTTTTTCTATAACAGAATGGTTCTTGCATTTGATGTCAACATTTCATTCACCTGAGGCAACTGAGCATTTAAGACATTGCTTTAATGAAATTCATTTCACACTTACCTTTTCTGTTCAGCACTTCCTAACGTGGCTGCAGTGTTTTTTGCCTTTTAAGCACTTTTTTTGAGAAAGCCCTAATGATCAACTGCAGAGAACACAGGATTTCTTGGAGTTGGTTGTTTCTAAGTGAAGTAAGCTTTCAGGGTTTTGTTTATGTTTCCTGCTACCTGGAACACACACCATCTCACACCCTGTCACCTCAGATTCAACCCCCAACACACTTCCTTTTCTTTAGGACTTGGCTCAGTGTCAGCTGCCCTGAGGTAATCTTCTCCGATATCTATCTGGTGCCTTGCTCCCATGTCCCTGGTCCCGTTCTTCCTTTTCACACCCCAGAGGATGACCACCCACTACTCTGCAACAGACCCTGATTTGCTGAGCGCTGAGACCATTCAGCTTGGTAGCTATAGTGATGAGTAGAGCACTTGGAAAATCAGTGATCAACAAATGCTGTCAGAATATTACATTTCTGATTCTGAGAGTAGGAGCTATAAAATGCCACATGATGAAGTGTCTAGCGACCACGTGAGGCCGCTATCTGGTTCTCAGATGTGTACTAAGTGGCACACAACACTTTGGAGAGACAGGCAAAAGAATGATCAGAGGAAGAGGCAGGAGCACCTCAGGACTGCAGGAGGCTACATACAAACTTAAGAGGAGAGACAGAAACAAAATAAATTATAGTTATTTTACCTCTTCTACCTGTTCATTCCTAATCTCCAAGTGTTGTCATAATCCACTGATAGGAAGGACTATAAGGGCAGAATTTGCAAAAGAATGTTTAATACTTTGCCAAAAACAAGAAAGCCGATAGTATATCTCCCCCTTGACTTGCTGAAATATCAAAGGCCTCACAACCTTTATCCCTGGCTACTTCCTTCCCTCCATCCTTCTTAATGGTTATATAAGTGGAATATTTTCTATACACGCAAGTACCACACACAGATATAAAATACCAGGGAACACTATATATTACAAAATACATGACTGTAGCTTCACTGTGATGATCAATATGGTGCATAGAAAAGAAAAACATAAGTTGTTGAATAAAGACAATCAAGATACACAA